TATAGGAGGGAATAGAATAGAATAGAATAGAATAGAATAGAATAGAATAGAATAGAATAAGAATAGAAGAGAAGAGAAGAGAAGAGAAGAGAAGAGAAGAAATTGGAAGGACCTTGGAGGTCTTCTAGTCCAACCTCTGCTTAGGCAGGAAACCCTATACCACTTCACACAAATCATTATCCAATCTCTTCTTTAAAATTCCACTATTTCCACAAAAACTATTGGCACAGATCTGGTGAAAACCGACTCTGAAGGTTTTCTGTGGTTTTCATCTAATTAAAAGCAAAAGTTTTCCCTCAGCCCCATGGTCCAATCAAGGCACTGTCTGGTTGCCTGGTGACAGTCACTCCTCCTTCCTCTGACCAGGTGTGAGACTGTCCTTGGTTCCCAAGAGAAAGTATTTCGTTTTGGCTACAAAATCCCAGCTATCTCTAATTTCCCCCCCTCCCACCTTATCCCTCAGTTCCAGTGTGGCAACACTGAAGCTCCAAGATGGCTTCGGGCGGGTCAGCTTCAAGGTTGACACCCTGCTCTAGGCACTTTAGAGTCTGGTTCACACAACCCCAGTTTAACCTTGTACCCCATTCCTGCTAAGTTGTCTTTCCCTTTTAAAAAAACCCAAAATACGGTGCCTATCAAATATTCCTTTTTTCCCAGGGAAGAAAACCTTGATGCGGTTCCCTGTATAAATCATGCAAATACAGATCCGCATTTGCATAATGTATTCAGCCCCTGTCTAGTTTGCATAATATATTCACAGCTTCAGCAAAGGGGGCTGCGTTCCCCCAAATTGCTTTGGCTGAAGCAATAGCGCTTAAGACTTATATACAGCTTCACAGTGCTTTCCAACCCTCTCTAAGCGGTTTACAGAGTCAGCCTATCATCATCACCATTTAATGGCCCCATAATCTCTTGCGGGGTGGAGTCTGGGCAACTAAATGGAGCTAGCAGAGCGTTTAATGGCCGGATGCCTTTCCTGTCACCAATGCAGAGCTTTGTTCAGCAGATATATTCCCATTGTGCCCAGAGAGAGAAATATCTGCCTCTACCTAGGATCGAACTCACAGCCTCCTGATTGTGACGTAAGAGCTCTACCTCTAGGCCACCGCACCACTCCTTTACAGAGTCAGCGTATCGCCCCCAAACAATCTGGGTCCTCATTTGACCGACCACAGAAGGACGGAAGGCTGAATCAACCTTGAACGGGTGAGAATCAAACTGCTGACAGTCGGCAGAGTATGCCTGCAATACTGCATTCTAACCACTGCACCACCACGGTCCTCGTCCTACATTAGCTACCCTCCACGCACTGTCCGGTGTCCTCGCGCACCATGCGCAGTCATGAGTCCTAGAAACTTGAACAGCTTAAAAACAAAAAGGCGGACCCTAGGGCTAAACTCGCCATTTCATTCTTATTCAGCTTAACCGGTTTGATATTTTTCGTTTCAACCTCTTGTAAGCGGCCCAGAGTCGCTCCAACAGTGAGATGGGTGGCATATATAATTAATAAACCAATGAATTAAATCAGGGATCCCTAACCACCCCCAGGCCATGGCCCACTGCCAGGCCGTGGTCTGTTCGGAACCGGGCTACGAAAATGGCCGGTGAACACGCATGCCGCTCCCCTTGAACGAGAAGCAGGCGAGTGCGTGGGTGCAAGTGTGGCGGACGCAGGTGGCTGCTGTTTGCGCAAATGGAGCTACGCGCCCACTCGCACTCCACTCGCACAAAACCATCCCCTTTCTCTTCCCGCCTGTTGTGGCTCCGTTACCTGAGCCTGTGTTATCGGCAGGAGAGGACTCCGAGAGTGAAGGAGAGAAGTTGGCAAGGCCTCCCTCTCCAGGACCCTCCTCTCTGGCAATGCCTTCGGTATCCGCCGAAGGTCAAGAGATAGGCCCGGGGCCAAGCACGTCCACGCAGCCACAGGTGGACAGTGATGAGGGAGATGAGTCTCGGCTGGATCCTCGGCAGCGTCGCAGAGATAAGCGCGCGCAGCAGAAGAAAAGGCGCGCCCGGGATTAGGCTGAGTCACTGGACCACACCCCACAGGGTATAAAAGGGTGTGGTGGCCGGTTCAGCTCTGTGACTAGCAAAAAACGGATATCGGACGACCTTCTTTGTGTTTACTGGACTTTGTTGATTATTATGTATTGGCTTTGTTCCCGGACGAAGGGAGAAACTCCCCCCTCGTGAGTAAAGAATACCTGGCAGCCAGCCACTGGGTTGCTGCCAATTCTGATACCAGATAAAACTGTTGTCGGCTGAGTTCTTTAGCTGTTGCCTGTCTGTGGGGGTGCGTGTGTGAGACGGGGACAGAACACCGCCGGACTGCAAAGCCAGAAAGGTGGGGACCACTGAATTAAATAAGTAAATCAACACAGGGCTTCGCAACGATTTTGATTCGATTTGGGCCTCTCTGGTTCAGAGAGAGAGAGAGCTGCCACTCAATCATCCAGACCAACCGTCTCCAACCTTTCTGCTTTGTGGACCTGTCCCTTCCATGCAGGGGTGGGATTCAGTCAGTTCGGGCGAACCAGATGTTAATTTTAATCTGGTTTGCCGAACCGGTAGTTGCAAGGAGTGGCTGACCCCGCCCACCCTGCCCCGCCCCGCCCCGAAGTCTCCATGCAGCCTGTTTTGGATGCTGGTTAAGTGGAGGGCCCATGTGGAGGCTCTGGGAGAGAGAAAAACGGGCCTACCGGAAGTCCGAAAACGGGCCTGTTTCTGGCCTCCGGAGAGCCTCTGGAGCCTGGGGAAGGCTGTTTCCGCCCTCCCAGAAGCTCAAGGAAAGCCTCCAGCGCCTGGGGAGGGTGAAAAACAGGCCTACCCAAAGTACTGGGTTTGTAGAAAAAAATGCTTTTAAAAAGCTCTGACGATCCCAGCTGAGCCGCGTGATCATCAGAGGATTTTTTAAAAAAAACTTTTAAAAGCATTTTTTCGGCTGAAGAAAAAATGCTTTTAAAAGAAAAAAAAAAAAAAACCCCTCTGATGATCACGCGGCTCAGCTGTACATGGGGGGGGCGGGGGGTAGGAGAGGGATTTTTGCTACCGGTTCTCCGAACCACCTGCCACCATGGCTACCGGATCGGGCGATCCGGACCCAACCAGGAGCATTTCACCAGATACAGCCTCTTCGGGTTGCAAAGGGCGCCTTACCCAGAGGGGCAAAAATCATCCAAACGGTTCACAGCAGCTCCGAGGATTAAATCAGGGATTGAAAAGCTGGCTTCGGTACACACACACACACACACACACACACACACACACACACAAACCAGGATCAAAGGAAGAAGCCACACAGTCCTCCACCCAGCTCAACGTCCCCTAGGAAAACGAACGTCCTTTTTACCTGTGGTACTGGTTCTGCAAAAACTGGAATTCTTCTTTGATCCGGTCCAAAATCTCGGGGTAAGTCAGTTTCAAAGACTGGGGGGTGGTTGATACGACGCTGGCGGCAGCCGCGGCGGCAACAGCTGTGGTGGCCATAGGCGGTGTCTGTAGGTGAGCCTGGGAGGGAGACGGAGAGAGACAGTGGCAAAATGAGCCATGGCAGAGCAAGTATCACATGCCGGCCCTCGTTCCCCTCCCATTCTGTTGTCCCCTTTGGAAAGAGGCCTGCTCCCCCACTTCTCCCCCTCCCTCTTTCCCAATGGTGATTCGCTTAACGACCACTGGAATAAAAGGTCATCCATTTGTCGGGTGGTACACAGTGATGGAATTCAAGTTTTTTTTTACTACCGGTTCTATGGGCGTGGCTTGGTGGGTGTGTCTTGGTGGGGGAAGGATATTGCAAAATCCCCATTCCCACCCCACTCCAGGGGAAGGATACTGCAAAATCTCCATTCCCTCCCCACTCCAGGGGAAGGATATTGCAAAATCCCCATTCCGTCGCCACTCCAGGGGAAGGATACTGCAATATCCACATTCCCTCCCCACTCCAGGGGAAGGATACTACAAAATCTTCCTTCCCACCCCACTCCAGGGGAACGATATCACAAAATCCCTATTCCCTCCCCACTCCAGGGGAAGGATACTGCAAAATCCACATTCCCACTCCACTCCAGGGGAAGGATACTGCAAAATCTCCTTTCCCAGCCCATTCATGGGGGAAGGATATTGCATAATCCCCATTCCCACCATACTCCTGGGGCCAGCCAGAGGTGGTATTTGCCGGTTCTCCGAACTAGTCAAAATTTCCACTACCAGTTCTGTCCGAACCTGCTGAATAGCACCCCTGGTCATACAATGATTGTTAAATGAACATCATATGCAATTCTTCTGCAAAGCATCCCATTGCGAACAATGGGTTCACTTAATGACCTGGATTCACATTAACAATGATGGGAGAATTCTGGGAGTTGAAGTCCACAAGACTTAAAAGTTGCCACGCCAGCCCCCAACCCCCCACCCCGGATGAAAGAATTGCTTGGAGGAAAACTTTTATCAATCTAGAAATGCTTTAACCAACCCACACCTGAAGATTTGCTTTCAAAGCACATCACTCATCCCCATCCGTTGGTGCATGAATTACTGCTCCTGCTCCGGGTAGTTTTAGGCCAATTTGCAGCATTCAAAACGATGCAAAAGATATTTTTAATTTTGAAGTTCCAATCAGCTCAGAGGTGATTTTCCCGCAAACCAAATGCCACTGAACGAACTCTGTCTGGCTTTAAGTCATGAGTTCATCCCAGCCAGTTAAACATTTGCCACTTCGGCGTTTTAATAACAAGTCCCAGAAAAGAATTTCCAAGCATTGGAGCTTGCTCACTAGAATTGTTTACTCAACAAAGTATATAATACACGTAGTCCTCGATTTACGACCGCCCAAAATGTTGAGCCCAACATTTCTAAGTGAAACATTTGTTAAGTTCAAGGCTGACTCGGCCTTCCATACTTCCGAGGTAGGTAAAGTGAGGACCCAGAAAAATGGCAAGATGCTGACTCTGTAATCCGCTTAGAGAGGGCTGCAAACCACTGTGAAGCGGTATATAAGTCTAAATGCTACTGGAAAGGAAGGAAGGAAGGAAGGAAGGAAGGAAGGAAGGAAGGGAAGGAAGGAAGGAAGGAAGGAAGGAAGGAAGGAAGGAAGGAAGGAAGGAAGGGAAGGGAAGGAAGGGAAGCAGGAGCAGCCCTGGTAGCGCAGCAGACTAAAGCACTGTTATTAACATCAGCTGCCTGCAATTACTGCAAGTTCAAATCTCACCAGGCTCAAGGTTGACTCAGCCTTCCATCCTTTCTAAGGTAGGTAAAATGAGGACCCAGATTGTGGGGGCAATAAGCTGACTTTGTATAAATATACAAAAGTATGAAGGCTATTGCTTAACGCATTGTAAGCCGCCTTGAGTCTTCCGAGAAGGGCGGCATATAAATCAAATTTTAAAAAAAAAGGAAGGAAGGAAGGAAGGGAGGGAGGGAGGGAGGAAGTTGTAGTGGCACAGTTACAATGCAGTATTGCAGGCTGACTCTGCTCACTGCCAACAGTTCGAGTCTCACCGACTCAAGGTTGACTCAGCCTTCCATCCTTCCGAGGTCGGTAAAATGAGGACCCAGATTGTTGGGGGCCATAGGCTAACTCTGTAAACCGTTTAGAGAGGGCTGCAAAGTACTGTGAAGCGGTATATAAGTCTAAGTGCTATTGCTAAGTGAATTCTGCCCTGTTTTATGACTTTTCCTGCCACAGTTGTTAAGTGAATCATTACAGTTCTTAAGTTAAGTAACGTGGTTGTGAAGTGACTCTGGCTTCCCCATTTTTGCTTGTCAGAAGGTCGCAAAAGGGTGATCATATGACCCCGTCATAAATATGAGTCAGTTGCCAAGTGTCTGAATTTTGATCCCGTGACCATGGGGATGCTGTAAGGATCGTCGGTGTGAAAAACATCCGTAAGTCACTTTTTTTCCAGTGCCGCTGTAACTTTGAACGGTCACTAAATGAATGGTCGTAAGTGGAGGACTACCTGCATTTGACATACAAAAACCCAGAACATTTTGCCACAAGCTCGTTCGGTTTTCATTTCTAAAGCATTGTAGGGGGGGAAAAAAAACCTACAATGGATTTAAAGCAAAGTTTATACCTACAAAGATCAGAATTCTGATATGGTCTTCCATATGACCCTTTATGGAATTAAAAGTGGAACTTTGAAGAAGATGGAGAAGAAGAAATATTGATGCCTTTGAAGCCAGTGTTGGAGAAGACTATTGTCCTAGTGGACAACCATTTAGATATGAGCCAGCCGTGTGCAGCAGCTGCCAAAAAAGCCAACACATTTCTAGACTGCATCAACAGAGGGATAGAATCAAGATCACGTGAAGTGTTAATACCACTTTATAATGCCTTGGTAAGGCCACACTTGGAATTCGGCATCCAGTTTTGGTCGCCACGATATAAAAATGATGTGGAGACTCTAGAAGGAGTGCAGAGAAGAGCAACAAAGATGATTAGGGGACTGGAGGCTAAAACATATAAAGAACGGTTGCTGGAATTGGGTATGTCTAGTTTAATGAAAAGAAGGATAGTATAGATAGGCAAAGGTAGGTACAGATATGTAAAATTGTATAGGAATAAGGTATAAATGACTATTATTATAATACTATGTTTAAATAATGTATAAGGTGTAAGGAATATATTATTATATTATCATTAGTATATTATGGATTAACTTAGTGTTGGAAGATGCTTGGGACCAGTGATGTCATATCTTTGTCCAATGTTTTTAATTTTGAATTACTAATAAAAAACTTTATTAAAGAAAAAAAGAAGAAGGACTAAGGGAGACATGATAGCAGTCTTCCAATAACTCAGGGGCTGCCACATAGAAGAGGGAATCAAGCTATTCTCCAAAGCACCTGAAGGCAGGATAAGAAGCAATGGGTGGAAACTAATCAAGGAGAGAAGCAACTTAGAACTAAGGAGAAATTTCCTGACAGTGAGAGCAATTAATCAGTGGAACAATTTGCCTCCAGAAGTTGCGACAACACTGGACATTTTTAAGAAGACGTTGGATAACCATTTGTCCGAAGTGGTGTAGGGTTTCCTGCCTAAGCAGAGGGTTGGACTAGAAGATCTCCGAGGTCCCTTCCAACTCTGTTATTCTATTCTTCTATTCTATGGACAGTCAAGAAAACACAGAACAATTTTTGCTCCACGTTGCAGCACCGAACAGACTCCTATTAACTTTTGCAGCCGCATGAAGGGAAGATTTGAGGACCCAGTTTGTGGGGGCAATAAGCTGACTTTGTATAAATATACAAAAGTATGAAGGCTATTGCTTAACGCATTGTAAGCCGCCCTGAGTCTCCGGAGAAGAGCAGCATATAAATCAAATTTAAAAAAAAAGACTCAGCTCTCCGGCCAAGGCTCTGATTGTTGGGAAAGGTGGAAGGAAAAAGAGGAGAAGAAGAAGAGAGGAAATGGAGATGGAGGCTCAATTGGAAGAGGACCAGGTTGGAGACAGATTTCCATGGATAAAATCTATCTATATGGTCAGTAAGAGCCGACAATGATTTGTTGGTATGTAATTAATTGGCCAATCGATGCAAAAGCTCAACTCCCTGGAGAAGGCTTTGATCCTGGGAAAGAGGGAAGGGAAGAGAAGAAGAGGGCCAGAATCAAGGGGAATGGACTTGATTTACAGCTGCAAGTTGGGCACGACTGGAAGATTTGAAGGACCAGATTTGAGGACAGATCTTCATGGAGTTTATCTCTCTATGTGGTCACTCAGTCAACCCTAACTCAATGCGCACAATCAATCAATCCTCAATCAATCAAAACGACAGGTAGCCCTCGACTCACAACCGCAATTGAGCCCGACATTCATGTCGCTAAGTGAAACATTTGTTCAGTGCCCCATTTTATGACCTTTCTTGCCACAGTTAAAGCGATTCGCTGTAGTTGTTAAATTATTAGTCACACGGGTGTGAAGCGAATCTGGCTTCCCTACTGACTTTGCTTGTCAGACGGTCGCAAAAGGGGACCATGCGAGCCCGGGACACTGCAACCGTCGTAAGTATGAGTCAGTAGCCAAGCGCCTGAATTCTGATCATGTAACCATGGGGATGCTGCAATAGTCGTTAAGTGTGAAAAACGGCCATGAATCACTTTGTTGAGGGCTATTTTAACATTGAACGGTCACTAAATGAACAGCGGTAAGTCGAGGACCAGCTGTATTTCAGACATTCAAGTCTTCAGGAAAGGCTTATTTTTCCTGTCTAAATAAAACCATCAGTTAAATTTTCGTCTCTTTCCATCCTCCCCTCCCCCAATTAAAAACACAGCCTTAGCCATCAAAAATCAGTGGGATGACTTGTGGGCCAATCACCAGGAGACACTGAGTTCTAGTCCCACCTTAGCCCTGAAAGTTGGCTGGGTGACTTTAGGCCAATCACCAGGAGACGGTGAGTTCTAGTCCCATCTTAGCCTTGAAAGTCGGCTGGGTGACTTTGGCCCAATCACCAGGAGACGATGAGCTCTAGTCCTACCTTAGCCCTGAAAGCCGGCTGGGTGACTTTAGGCCAATCACCAGGAGACGGTGAGTTCTAGTCCCACCTTAGCCCTGAAAGCCAGCTGGCTGACTTTAGGCCAATCACCAGGAGACGGTGAGTTCTAGTCCCACCTTAGCCCTGAAAGCCGGCTGGATGACTTTAGGCCAGTCCTTTTGTCTCAGCCTGACCCATCTGTTATTGCTCTGAGGAAAACAGGAGGAGGAAAGAGTATTAGGGATGTTCTCTGGCTGGAGTTATTCATTTTTACAAAAAGTAATAAAGGAGATAAACATTTAAAAAAAAAAAAACGATCTGAACAGTCTGAAACACACACATCCTTGAAATACTGACATTTGGATAAGACTTCAATTAACTTAAAGGAAAGTATATTTTTAATTTTTTCAATGGAATTGGAAACCTAAAGATTGGAGGTGGAAAGGAAATAATAATAAAAAAAAAAAACAGATATCTTACCGGGGGCCGATTTTGGGAGAACATCCTTGTAAATCAACCATAGGTTTGTGATTTTAGGTAAGGTCACTGCCTCGCCGGTTTGGGGAACCCACTTTTTGGGGGTAACCTAGGGAGAATAAGATAGTTACATCATGGTTAAATTAGAAGCGTTGGGTTATCTTATCCTGGTCCCAAGTCAGAAATTATGAACATCTCCGCCACGTTCAGATGGGTGAACTACAATTCCCAGAATCCCCCCAGCCACCATTCTGGCTGAGGCAATTCTGGCAGTTGGAATTCCACGTCTTAAAACTTGCCACGGTTGTGAAACACTGAATTTTAAGCACATTTTAAGTACAAACCGCCTTAGCAGTCTAGAAACGGCGGACCAGATTTTCAAAATGAGCCATGAACATTATTCCAGCAGTCATAAAAATGCGCCGTTACTGGACTGAACAGGGTTGCCTATCGGCATCTATTTATTTTACACCTAATTTATTTTACACCACAGAGTTGCCTCGAAGCAAGATGGGCAGGCGAGCAAATGAACAAGAAATAAAAGAAATCCGCAAGTCACGTGTTGGCGGTCGGTGTCATCCTTTGGTTTGTGAGGATAACAGAGATTCATGAGGACTAGCACCCCAGAAAGCCTGCCACACATTTCTCTCTTCTCCTTTCCCAAATAGGGGGTCATCGCCTCTTGTAGAAAACCCTTCCACACTTCTAACCAAATTCCACTTGACTCTGGTTCATCCATTACATTCTCCTCTTTGCAATAATGGCTTAATTTAGGATAGCAATAAGGAACCCATGGGGGGGAGGAGAAATATAGTTTAAATCACTAAAACATGCTTTATTTTTTAAAAGCAATAAAACAACCAAAAGAAATAAGATCCACAGGCCCCAAAATATTACAAGCCGCCTCCTTCAGTAACCCAAATTGTGTCCACTGAGGCCTGTAGCAATTACAGATAGTCCACGACTTACAACCATCCATTTAGTGACTGAACGGGGCTGAATAAAATGATTTATTGGCCCAATGACATGATCAAAATTTGATCGTTTGACAACCCGCCTGCATTTATGACGCTTGCAGCGTCCAGTGGTCACATGATCGTCATTTATGAACTTCCCGGCCGACTTCTGACAAGCAAAGTCAATGGGGGGGGGGAGCCGGGTTCGCTTAACGACCGCCCGATTCACTTAACCATTGCACCAATTTGCTTAACAACCAAGGCCAAAAAAAAGAAAAAAAATCGAGGTTGTAAAATCGAGCGCGACTCATTTAAACAACTGCCTTGCTTAGCAACAGAAATCCTGATCCCCAATTGCAGTCGTAAGTTGAGGACTACCTCCAAAGATTGCTGGAAAGCCACCCGACTAGAGATTTTTTTTGCCCAAACTCATCATCGATTTGAGAGATGCTGCAAAGCTCTTGAAGGCGGCCCTTCACAGACGGGAAGGATATTTGCTGTCTGCTCAGAAGGAAATTACAGGGTGAACCAAGGCCGCCTCTGGGCATGTCAAGGGCGTTTTTTTTCCTCCCTCTCCTGCTTCGAATTCCCAAGGCTGCAGACTTCAGGAAGCATAAATTTCCTTTTTAACACGTGTGACTTGGGAAGAAGAAGCCACAACTCAACCCCTGCCCGCCCCCACTTTTATTCCTCCAGGGTCAGGCAGAAAAAGACCTCCCACCCAAACCACCGACCACACGTGGCTCTTTTCTCTTTTATTTTTATTTTGTTTTATGTCACACACCATTCCCTCTTTCCAGCTGTTCTTACATGCGCCCCTCGATTAATTTTAACGTCCCCCCTCCCAAGTTATTGCCTGCTTCGCAGGTAAGGATATAAAAATCTCCCAGCTGCAGCCTTTCCTGACTGCACCCCCCCCCCATTTCCCCAATTCCTTGTATCCCAGCCAGCTTTTATCAGGAAGGATGTGCAAAACTCGAAATGGCCTTCCTGGCGCATCTAATCGGCCCCGGGGGGGCAGGGGGGGAAGGAAGGAAGGAAGGCATGTATGTGTGTCGAAGGACCCTCAAGCCGGGATTGATTGCCAGCAAGGGTTTCCTTAAAAAAAAAAACAACCAAATAACAACAACTAAAAAGCACCTCACAATAAATCAGTTTTAAACTCAATTATTTTCACCGATTTATTAACTATGTGAAGTTTACAGGCAGTCCTCGACATACGACCACCATCGAAACTGGAACGTCGATGCAGTCAGAAAGCGAGACGTCACCTGTCAATAAAATAAGACAGGCAGTCCTCCACATATGACCACACAATCGAGGCCAAAGTTCTTGTTGATGAGTGAGACATTTCAGCCAAGTTTGGCTCCATTTTACGCCTTGAATCGCTGCCGTTGTTAAGTTAGCAAAACAGTTGTTCGGTGAATCCGGTTTCCTTGGATTGCGACTTTGTTTGTTGGAAGTCGCAAAAGGGGATCAAGAGATCCCAGGACACTGCAACCGTCATAAGAATGAGCCAAGCGTCTGAATTTTGATCACGTGACCATGGAAATGCTACAACAGTCGTTAAGTGTGAAAACTGGTCCTAAGTCACTTTTTTCAGGGCCGTTGTAACTAAACAAGCTGTTGTAAGTCGAGGACTAGCTGTAATGCATGGAAAAACCCAGATTTCGATGAATTTTGAAATAACAAAGCTGGAATCCCAAATAGGGATTGGAAAAAAACAGATGGGGATTAAAAAAACCAACAACCCAGCACTGGCAATAATCTTGCCTCCAGTTTAGAAATTTGACTCTAATAAGGAGGCGCATTGACAGATTGGGGAAAAGGGGTGAAAGGGCGGGAGATAGACTGCTTCTGCACCTGGAGGCTCCAACTCCAAGGCCAAAAGTTCCAACAAATGAAAACTTCACACCTCCATTTGCCTCTTACTCTCCCCCCAATTTAGAGAAAAGACATCAATGACGGAAAAGGAAGCGTTCGCACAACTCATAAAACATCTGAAAATAAAAGTGGGCTGTATACAGACCACAGGCCACCTTTAATGATGGTTAGTTTTCTCTTGGATGCTGGGCAAACCCCGCCTAAACGAATCAATGCATTCGCTAAACACGCAAACAGACTAAAAGTTCATTTCTCTAAGCAGGCTAAACGTACAGGCCATCCTCGACTTACAACAGTTCATTTAGCAACCGTTCAAAGTTACAACGGCATTGAAAAAAGTGACTTACGACCGTTTTTCACACTTATGACCATTGCAACATCCCCATGGTCACATGCCTCCAAAATCCGGATGCTTGGCAACTGACTGACTCATATTTATGACCGGTTGCAATGTCCCGGGATCCTTTTGCAACCTTTTTAGAAACAATGTCGATTGGGTAAGCCAGATTCACTTAACAATCGTATGACCGACTTAACAACTGCAATGATTCGCTTAACATCGGCGGCGAGAAAAGTCGAATTCACTTAACTCACATTTCACTTAGCAACAGAAATTTGGGGCTCAATTATGGTCATACGTCCGGAACTATCCGTATATTGTGTGAATGCACCCCAGCCTCCAATCTAACCACAATTGTGGGCCGCCGATGCTCGTCCTGGTTTCAGAAAAGTGTGTAAGACCCCTGTTAAGATGTCATCTTACCCAGTGGGGTCTTTGGCGGGTAGATTAACAATGCAATGCTTCTTTTTCTCCAAAATTCTTGCAAACTCCCTTCTGTCTCTCTAAGGATCTTGAATAAAGGATTTTAAAAGCTGACTGACCCCCCCGCAACACTCACCCCCCCCATCCAGTCCCTATGGGTGGCAAGCTAGAACCAGCTCTCTTTCATTCAGCAGCCATGAAAAAGCACTCCGCACATGTTCAGGGTGGTCTATCTATCCCTCGTGCCATGACGGAGGGAAAATGAGGACCCGGTTTGTGGGGGCAATAAGCTGACTTTGTATAAAAATATACAAAAGTATGAAGGCTATTGCTTAACGCATTGTAAGCCGCCCCGAGTCTCCGGAGAAAGGCGGCATATAAATCAAAATAAATCAAAAAATACATAGATAAATAAAAATAAAATAAAAATATATAGGCGCTGGGCGAGATTTCAAAGATGCTGCCCCTGGAGCTGGCAAGCCCTACTCTGCTTCCTGTAGGCTTAACTGGAGATGATGAGGGCAGAGGGAAAAAAAAAAAACAGGAGCAAAGTCACATTAATCACAGTTTAATTCGTGGGTATTTGGCGAGGGAAGGGGAGCTGCACAAGGTAAAAACAAGGTGGGGGAGAGGGGATCTTAACCCCAGATGCCTCTTTGTATTAAAGAAAGAAATAACAGGAAGGAACAGCACCCCCCCCACCAACACACACATACACACACACATATACACACACCCCAATTAACAATCGCCCCAATTAACAATCAAAAGCTCCTCTTTTCCCACGAATAAGGAACTCCCTCTTCTCCGATTTAGAAATCCCCCCCCTTTTTTTTTTTTTACAAAATCGGGGTTACAAAATCGCCCCCCCCAAAAAAAATGATTTCTCCCAGCCTAACAATAGTCCCAAAGCAGCAGCAGCAGCAGCAGGTAGGAAGGAGAGAGAGAGAGTAGATCCGCCAGCAGGAAAGAGATCCACCCCTCCCTTTGCCTTTAAAAAAAAAAAACCCACCGCCTCCGTTTCAAAGCGGCTGCACCCACCCCAAGCCAGCTCTTTGGAGAGACGGACCCGAAGGAAGACAGGGGAGATCTATTCCCCTCCACCGCGCGAGAGGGAAAAAAAAAAAAACACCCCAAAACACTCACCCGATCGCTCCTTTTTGCGGGGTGGGGGGGGGAAAGGGAGAGAGTGGGCGAGGTGGCTCAGGGTCAGGGCTGCCCCAGTCGGGTGTTTGCAAGAGGGAGAAATAAAGAGAGAGAGAGAAAGAAAGAAAGAAAGAGAGAGACACCCCCCTCTTTCAACGCCCCTTCTTCCTTTCCTCGCTTTCTCTCTCTCTCACTCTTTTTTTTCCCCCTCCTCCTCCCCCCCCCGCGGCAGCTTTGCGGGGGAGAAGCGATCAATGGAACGCCCGCCAGCTCCACGTGGGGTCTGCCGCTTTCTCTTTCGCCACAGTCGAACGCGCCGCAGCCAATCAGAGCGCCGGGAAGGGAGAGAGAGAGAGAGAGAGAGAGAGAGAGGGCGGGGGGAGGGAGGGAGGAGGGAGGAGAAGAAAGGGAAGAAATAAATAAGGCGCTCGCGGCCCACGTGGGGGGGGAGGGAGGGCGGGAAGAAGAGGGTATTATAAAAAAAAAAAAAAGCCACAAAACCCCAGGACGGCGCCTGATTGGTCCGGCGCGGCTTCTCGTAGCAAATGTGTCAATCTGGATAGAGCGCGAGGTAGCCCGTGAGGGGAGGAAGGAGGGAGGGGGGGAGGGGGGGAGAAAAAGGGAAGCGCTCGCTCTCCCGCTCGCTGCCCCCCCCCCCTTTTTTTTCTTTTTTTTCTTTTTTTTTTTGTTAACCCTTGAGGTGCTGGCAGGGATGGGAAATTGGTTTAACCCTTGAAAAGGGGAAGGGAGAAGGAGAAACGGGTTAAAGGTGGAAAAGCTTTGAGGTGGCGGGGGGGAGGAGGGGGGGAGGGGGGGGTAGTAGAGAGAGGGAAAGGGGGGGCCAGGGGGGAAAGAAGGGGGAGGGGGGGAGAGAAGGTTGGTTTTAACCCTTTAAGATCAGGAGGGGAAGGGAAAAAGGGGGGCACAGGAAGAAAGGGGAGGGAGGGGCATGAGGAGACGGGGAATGGAGGGGACGGGGGAAAAAGAGGGCAGGGGAAGGGGCGGGCAGAGGGAAAAAGGGGGGACATTGAGGGACAGAGGGGAAACGGGGGACAAGGGAAAAAGGGGGCAGGGAAAAAGGGAGGTGGGGAAGGGGACAGAGGGGAAAAGGGGAAGGGGGAACAGGGTGAAAGTGAGGGAGGGACAGAAGGGGAAAGGGAGAAAGGGGGACAGAGGGAAAAAGGGGGAGAAAGGGGAAAGGGGGATGGGAAAAGGGGGACAGAGGGGAAAAGGGAGACGGAGGAGAAGGGGGAACAGGGTGAAAGTGAGGGAGGGACAGAAGGGGAAAGGGAAAAAGGGGGAGAAAGGGAAAGGGCAGAGGGGAAAAGGGGGGACAAAAGGGGAAAGGGCAGCAGAGAGGAAAAAAGGAGGACAGGGGAAAGGGGGGGCAATGGGGAAGGGGGAGCAGAGAGGAAAAAGGCAGAGGGGAAAAGGGGGGCATAGAGGGGAAAGGGGGAGCAGGGAGGAAAAAGGGCAGAGGGGAAAAGGGACAAAAAGGGAAAAGGGGCAGGGGAAAAGGGGATAGACAGGAAAGGAGGAGGCAGAGGGGAAGGGGGCAGAGGGAAAAGGGGGAGATAGGAAAGGGGGAGCAGAGAGGAAAAAAGCAACAGGGAAAAAGGGGATGGGAAAGGGGGGCAGAGGGGAAAGGGGGAGGCAGAGGGGAAAGGGGAGCAGAGAGGAAAAGGGGGATGGGAAAAGGGGGACAATGGGGAAGGGGCAGAGGGGAAAAGGGGGATAGAGAGGAAAGGGGGAGCAGGGAGGAAAAAGGGCAATGGGGAAAATGAGGGCAGAGGAAGGGGGCAGAGGGGAAAAGGGGGAACAAAAGGGGAAAGGGGAGCAGGGAGGAAAAAGGGCAGTGGGGAAAAGGGGAGCAGAGGAAAAAAGGGGGACAGGAAAAGGGGGCAATGGGGAAGGGGGCAGAGGGGAAAAGGGATAGAGAGGAAATGGGGAGCAGAGAGGAAAAAGGGCAGTGGGGAAAAGGGGGGCAGAGGAAAAAAGGGGGACAGGAAAAGGGGCAATGGGGAAGGGGGCAGAGGGGAAAAGGGATAGAGAGGAAATGGGGAGCAGAGAGGAAAAAGGGCAGTGGGGAAAAGGGGGGCAGAGGAAAAAAGGGGGACAGGAAAAGGGGGCAATGGGGAAGGGGGCAGAGGGGAAAAGGGATAGAGAGGAAATGGGGAGCAGAGAGGAAAAAGGGCAGTGGGGAAAAGGGGGGCAGAGGAAAAAAGGGGGACAGGAAAAGGGGGCAATGGGGAAGGGGGCAGAGGGGAAAAGGGATAGAGAGGAAATGGGGAGCAGAGAGGAAAAAAGGCAGAAGGGAAAAGGGGGACAGAAGGGGAAAGGGAGGAGAGAGGAAGAAGAGAGATTTTTTCTTAAAGGGAGAAAAAGACCCTTCGGCTTCACTTGACATAGGTCAAGCCAACGCGAACGAGTTAACCCTTCCAGATCCAGAAAGCTTCGAGGAAAAACGCGGCGGGGTGGGGTGGGGGACTTGGTGGGGTGGGGGGAGGAGAGTGAATTGAACTCTGCAAAGTCTGGACTTAGGGAAGGGAGGTGGTTTTTTCTAACCCTTAAAAAGAAAGGAAAGAAAAAGGAAACGAATGAAAAGCAAGGGGGTGGGTGGGCGTGGGGAGAAAGAGGGGTCTCAAAAGGCCTGGCCTCTGGATTCAGTTTGATCAAGAATTGGGGGAGTGGAAAAACAAGGAGGAAAAAACTGGGTTAAAAGGCCGAGGAAAATCCAGCCCTTAAAAAAAAATAATAGAGAGGTGGAGGTGGGTGGGTGGGTGGGAGGTAAATGAATCCTCCAAGGCCAAGGGAGTGAGAAGGAGATCAACCAGATTAACTCTTCCAAGATCTCCCAAGGGAAGGATTAACTCTTACCTGTCCAGAAGGTGAGAAGGAGTTATGGATGAAAAAGGGGGTAAAAATTTATTAGAGCAGTGTTTCTCATCCTGGACCCCTTTTAAGCCGTGTGGACTTCAACTCCCAGAATTCCCCAGCCCCCAGCCCGCTTGCGGCACGGTAATAGAGCCTAATGAATGAGCCGGAAACCAAACAGTATATCTATATATATAAAAGCGAAATACCACTCACGCATCATCACAAAATCTCCAGAACCGTAAAGCCTACAAACTTGAAATTTGCCACATATCTTCCTCTTGGCTTCTAGGTGCTCACTAAGAAAGGATTTTTCGAAATGACCATCAGAGCATTAGTATTTCCTATATTATTATTAACACGCTCTGATGCTAAGGAGTTCTACTCCACCTCCCCAGCTGAAAAGAAATCTGTTCAAAATGCAAAACTCAAGCAGAGGAGAGGAGTTTCACTTTCAGTTTTACTTTCACAGAAGCAAGCAGGGGATAGGATAGGGGAGGCTTCTGTGGGGCAAGCCTGAGGGAGAGAAGGGGATAGGATACAGGAGGCTTCTGTGGGGCAAGCCTGAGGGAAAAAAGGGAACCGTTGGGGCCCATTTTTATATTTGTTCCAAACAGCTTGGAAGCTCTCTGAATGATGCATAAATAAAAATAAATAGATCCACTGAGGAAACTTCGTGGCTTTCCCCTCCCCTTCCCCCAAATTTGAGTCCGAAAGACCGTCTCCTTGAATTTGGGAGGATTCGGTGATTGAACCTATGATCCCTAACCCTGGTTCCCTCCATCCCCATCCTATAATTCGGGAATTTGCCTCTTGCGAACCTTCAAAATTGTCAATTTTGTATCTGGAGGGCTCCATTTTATATGGGGTAGTGTTTAATCCTGGAATGGTGGTTTGTTCACATCCCAAGGGTAGAAAAAGCAAGGTTTGTTGGTTCATTGAATTTGCGTGGTCTGCGGCTAAGCACGGTTCACATAACTGGTAGTCCCCGACTTACAATAGTTCGTTTAGTGGCGATTTAAAGTAATATCGTCACTGAAAAATATCGTCACTGAAAAAAAGTGACTTGGGACCATTTCTGACACTTACGACCGCTGCTGCATCACATGATCAACATTCAGGCACTTGGCAACTGGCATGTACTTATGGCGGTTGCAGCAATCCAACGGTTCCACTTTTCCCCAAACTGATTTAATTACTTTTGTTCAACGCCATTTCCAAGTTTCTAGTCCTCAAGCTGCAGTAACTAATTTAAAGGGGATGTCTGTTTCTCCTTGCTCTGAGGCAGTGGTGGGATTCAAGTAACTCTGCCCTAATGATTTCTTCCAGCAACCAATTTGCCAAACTGCTCAGAAAGTTAACAACCGGTTCTCCCGAAGTGGTGCGAACCGGCTAAATCCCACCACTGCTCTCAGGGCTTTCAAGTTGAATTCTGTTAATATTTTTTTTCCATGGCAGAGGCCGTGTTTTGTTTCATTCGGTTATATTTTATTGATTTATTGAGCATCCTTAAGATTTCTATATCCCAAACCGCTGTGTATTTTTGGGCTGTGTTGGTGCAGGGAAATTTCAGAAATAAATCAGATTGGAAGATTCGTTTAATAATCCTTCTTCAGAGGAACCAAGTTTATCCCCCAAAATATAGTCTGAGGCAGGGGTGAAATGCTCCCGGTTCGGACTGGATCGGGCAATCTGGTAGCAATCGTGGCGGGTGGTTCGGAGAAGCGATGGCGGTGCGAGGCTCTGCCCACCCGCTCGGCTGTCATTACTTCCTGGTTTTAACCAGGAAGTAATGTGTTTTTTACCCTCTGCGCATGCGGGCACTTCCGAACCGGTAAGGAAGGTAAGTAGATTTCACCCCTGGTCTGAGGTGTACAGGTATCCCTTGACTTATGATAGTTCATTTAATGACTGTTCAAAGTTACAACGGCACTGAAGTGACTTATGACCAATTTTCACATTTATGACCGTTGCAACATCTCCGTTGCAAAATTCAGATGGCAACTGACTCATGATGGTTGCAGTGTCTTGGTGTCAGGTAATCGCCTTTTTGTGACCTTCTGGCCAGCAAAGCCAACGGGAAAGCCAGATCTCGCTTAATCGTGTCCCTGGCTTAACAACGGCAAGAAAGGTCGTAAAAACGGGGCAAAACTCACTTAACAACCATCCCGTTTAGCGACAGAAATGTTGGGCTCAAGCGTTGCTATAAATCAAAGACGAGCTGCGCTTTGCTCGGTTCTATAATCTCACCGAATGAAATTGGCAACGCTTATAAACCAGGCTGGCCTAAATCAGATTGCAATCCGTAGGGTG